ATCAATTGTTTTGCATCCGAAGGAGATGTCTGCAGATCTTTTGTGATTTCTCCGCCCTGACTTTTTGTTTATGCTCGACCGCACATTGCGAGAAGAGTGCTTGATTTCTCTTGATCTTTTTCTTTCGAGACGCGTTACTTATTCGTACGACTTCGTCAAAGTAAACAATAATTAATCTTTTCGCATTGAAATTATTGGTCAATTATTGCGACGATAAGTCCTGAAAAAGCTGCTCAAGTTGTAGCGTTAATTGAAGATGGGAGAAGTCGAAGGTACGTTGCTGAGGCACTTGATTTATCAGTGTCAACCGTGCAACGTGCTTATGCTAGGTACTTGGAGACTAATTCTGTCCAAAGAAGACCTGGTTCGGGACGTCCTCGTTGTACGAATGAAAACGATGACCGATTTATTGTTTTAAATTCATTAAGAGACAGACATCGAACGGCTGTTCAAATTCGAAACAATTTAAGAGATGTCCGCGAATGTAATGTATCCGTTGACACTATTCGAAACAGATTAGCGGAACACGGTCTTTTTCCGCGCAGGCCAGCAAATGTACCTTCGCTTATGCGTCGCCATCGCGTAACTCGACTCAATTTTGCTGTCGAGCATGCAGGCTGGACATATGCAGAATGGAGTACCGTTCTTTCTAGCGACGAATCTCGTTTTTGTCTGTATTCTTCAGACGGACGAGAACGAGTATACCGTCGCGTTGGAGAACGATTTGCAGACTGTACTGTAAGTGAGAGGCCTAGAAGTAAGAATCTGCCTTTTTCTTCAAATGCGAATCTCTCGGCGAAAAATCATCGTATCGAGATGCATAAAAAAGCATTTTAAAGAGGAGACTCTGTACTTTCGTACGCTTTTGATCCCAATAAGCTACAATTTTTTGTTTATACCGTGCACCGTCGCAAACTCGAACCATTATTTTTCAATTTTGCATGCTCGCGCTTTGTCATCCGCCATTTTCAATAAATTTATTTTGCAACATTGAAATAAATTGATTCTTAAAGTAGAGATTTTTAGCTTCATTTCCATATTTTATAGAACTTTCTATCTTTATTATTTACGAAGTTATCGTCAGTTGAAATTTGATGAATTTTTCCCACATTTTCAGTGTACCGCTTTTTTTTCGGGTGAGTGTATATATTTTCAGGGTCTAAAGCGGGTCAACGGAGGGTTTTAACTAAACCCTACTTTGAAGCTTTAGCAGGAAAAAAGGAAATTTCGGACATATTGTAGCGCCAAAGTAGGTGCTATTATATACATACGATACAATGCATAACATCTACTTTGACTCTCTTATGCCTACCTCAAAATAAAAGATTAAGGTTCAATATAGGTGCTAAATTTCGACTCGGGTAGTTAGCAAAAATTTGTCGAAGATCGATAAGCGCCAAGTGCACAACAATAAAAAAGATCGCAACATACTACTTTATTGGAAACAAATCTTTGACACGACGTCATCTTAAAAAATTTTAAATGTGATCTAACTATTGTCGCCATTATCTTGAAGGAGAATAATGGAGGATGGAAATTTGAATGAATAATACGCAAAATAATACGCTGACTTTTAATCACAACTGCATGTCGAATTTTGTACGGCACTGGTGGCCCCTATACTTTACAGGAACATTCTGTGTAACCAATCGCTTCTCCTCCGGGAAACTTTCTTCGTCGCGACTTCCAAGAAAGCACTAAAACGAATGCCAGTCCTCACTCGGAATTTCAAGTGAGACATTTAGTGCCTTTTAATACATTTTCTTCGCAAGTTGCAAGTTAATTGAATAATTCGTAGCACATTTTTGTCGCGGAACTCAAATAAGATCCGGTGAACTTGTACTCATTGGATATATCGGTCTATTCGCTTGAAAGTAGGTAGTAAAGTTAGTTATTATTAAATCAAAACTTTTGTTCCTCCTTTTGCAATTATCCTAAAGCGATATCTTTGGAATAAAAGGTTTCTGAATGATTTTCCGCGCTCGGTCGCGACGGAAGATGCGATAAAAAGTTAATAATACTGTTCTCGCGTTTATGAGAGAAAGTATAATAATCCAGCATGTTTCATATCCCATACAATCTTTTATCTTTATGATCTAAAATTATTTTTAAAGCGGATGTGCACGAAACGATAAGTTTTTAAATACGCACGGCAAATCCAGATTCCGATCGAATATACTCGCAATCACATTCATCAATCACAGAGTGATATTACACGCGATAAGCAAAGATTTCTGTATGTTAAATATAGCCGTGATGGAAAATCCACACTGATGCTAATCGTAATCATTGAGAAAATGAGTAAAGCTATCATGCGAGCACACATTAAAACAGCGATAACGTATTAAGTAGCATTAAAGATTAATCACGTCTTAAGCCACTTGGATCAGTTTATTTAAAGTGGATTATGTCGCGTTATACGACACGAAATTAAGACACCTTATTGGATTTTAAGTTATTTTTAAATGTTTCTTAACACACTTTCGCGCGTATAATTTTATGCTTTGGAATTTTATTATTATTTTTTCAATTAACCGTCCATTAGCTCCACGTGAAGTAAAAAAAACTCCACACGAAGTGAACTTTGCTGTGAAGCCAACTGTCGAACAAAGCGATTATTTTTAAACAAATACTTACATCTCGAGAGGATCTTTCCCTGGCGGGGGGAGTGATTTGATTTGCACCTCTCCATTTGAATATCCTGTGACCCCTCGCGGGGATTCGTGGAGAACGGGTAAACTCGCTGCGTCATCGCGCATTCTTAATTAAAGACTCTGTAATCAGAAAAAAAGAACAACGAATTGCATTACTCCACAACAGTCCAAATCGGAGTTGAGTTAAGCAACAATTATTTAATCAAGAGGTCTCTCGCTCTCTCGGTTAATTGATTTTCAATGGATTTAATTTTCGTTTCTTGAACACACTTGCTTTCTCTTTCGCGTCTAACGTTATTTCTTCATGCTTTATTTTATCTCACGCGACGCTGCGAATATCCGGACATCTGACAGCGATCAAAAGCACTCGTCATCGAGGCATCGGACGGCGAGATGAATATTTCGCCTGAATCGAGCGCGTTGGCGCACAGTTAGTCCTATTGTACGGCACAAATAGCCGCCCCTATTTACTCCCGCCATTATCCACTATATCATATGTTTGCGTGCCGAAGTACGCAATCTAAACAATGATTAGACACCGCGCAAGCCGCGTTAATTAATCGATCGGCCGCTGCAAGCTGCATTAATATCAACAACAACAAAGCGAAATTCACTCTACGTTCTACTCTATTAACGGTACCTTGTCCCCCGCGTTCGTCCCCCGCGCGCGCCTCACGGCCCCGTCGTAAAGGGAAATGTCGATTCGCTTTTCCGATACGTCGAATAAAACGAAATTTTATCCGGCCGATGGATCGACGACTTTTCCGATATGCAAATGCGATATTGGGTACCTGCCGTTAAGAGGAGAAACGGATGACGGCGGCGGCTCCGGTGGCGAAAGGGGATCGGCCGAGAACGACGTTAAAACTCGTCCGGCCGAGGCTTTTAAGAACGGCGGTGAAAAGCGCGAACGAACAAGACTTCGTTAGGCTAGTGAAAAAGTACTGACGAGGGGCGTTTCACGTGGCCCTCGTGATCAGACACCGACTGGTGGACTGTGCGTCTGATTACGACGAGTGTATGATCGCGCGATTACGATCGCGTGAAACGCAATTGCGGGCTTCTACCCAACAATGTATCCTCTGCCGTCAAGCGCGAGCGAGTTCCGTTTTTTCCGCGTGTAAAAACCATCGCGCTCCCGTGAGGCTTGATAAAATATTAAATTTATGCTTTTGCATGCGAACGCTGCGAAAGCGGAAAGTATAAAGGAGACATCCAAAGATGATCCAAAAGAGACGGGAGAAATCTATAAGTATCTTTTGGACATCTTCCAAACATCTGCAGCGTCTTGAATTATTTTACAAGGTGATCGGTAAGCGGAGTATCTATGATTAATTCTTGAACATAGTTTGTATAATGTTAATGAGGAAATAGTATCATGTAAAAAATATTTGTCCTCAAGATTATTATTGGAAAAATTTGCGAGATTAAAGGGCTTCTCTTGAGAAAAAAACATTTTTATATCAAGAAAAGGTGTTTTCTGTTCTATATTTGTTCTTTAAAAATATTCAAGTCACAGTTTCAATCTTACTGCATGTTTCTTATCTCTCGATCTAGAAGAGTTATTCAGATATTTCGGTTTTGAAAACTCATTTTAATTATTTTAATATCAACATTTAATTGCTACTTGTATGGTAATCAGTATTTGTCATCTTTGCTGCATTATTTTCGGATCATATAATTATTAATTCTTTTAGAGCAACGTAATTCCCATTATCATGTCTTATCTTCATTTTCAATAACAATTAATTCGCGATATCTTCTTATCACATTGTTCAGTTTATAGACTGAATCTATTTAAATCTGTCTAAATTCATCATCCAACTGTTGATTTATAATTAGATTAATCATCCAATTGCGAATTATTTTATAAAATTAATAAAATCTCAAGATCTCTCGTCTTTTAGATTCCAAACATAATGCTCCGCTCGGCTAAAATTTCATTAATATCGTATTATTGTAACTTTATCGATCGTTTCACGACACGACGAAATACGAATGAATTATTGACCGTCGCTTGAAAATTAATCGTCGAATTTTCCGCGCTAAGAGAGACTCTTTGTTTCTGGTTCCTTAATCAGCGAAGCCTCCTCTCGCTCATTCAATATTGAAATGTCGAAGTACTCGCAAAAGAGGATAGCAATGTCAGTTTCAGATTATCCTATTTCACGGTAGAATTTCCCGATTTCATTTGTTTTCCCAAGCTTCAATAAGCCGTCTACGCTCGCGCATTGCCTTCGAACGAGCAGAGTTTTTTTTTCCCGCCACTGAACTTGACTCGCCGAGAGTTTATAAAATTTTCCTCTTGTTCCGGTTGATCTAACACGACCGACTTATTGGCTTCGGTGCGATAAATTGTCTCCCTCGTGCAATCCGCCTTCGGTCTCACTGTCGCTCCGAAACCGTTGTAATCCCTTCAGAAACTTTCAAGTACAAAATTGATCGCGAATATCTCGCGATAATTCTTGTGCGAAGTACACATTCATAGAGATACTTCTATCAAAATTAAAAAAAAAAAAGAAAAGATAAAAAATATATTTCCATTGAACGACAGAGTGAAAGGATATAAATAACTGTTTAACTTTTTCGCGATTTTTACGCTTCACAAGTGCAGCTTTAGAAATAACCGCACAATTTCGAGCTCGTAAATCATCAATATGATCAAATCAGAAGACAAGGCAGAAGTAGCTGTCCGAGATAACGAGACGCACTTGCCGCGTTCGCGATGCAGTGCGCACAATACGGCTTATTAATGACGGTAAGCTTATTGTCGAGGAGAAGAATGGACTGCGAAAATTTGCAGATTCTCGGAATAAAGAACTTGGCGCACGGGCTACTAAGACTCTTATCACGTCACTTGACTCCCCGGGTGTACGCGTAACGTCGTTAGAACGAAATCACAAAGTAGCGTGGAGTCTCGGCAAACACGGGGATGCAGCCCCCCGTGCCTTCATTCTTCAGCGCGTCGCGCGCTCCGTCGCGTCGCTGAAAAATCGCGGCTAATTGAAAAAATTGCGAAAGTTGCGAAAACTTTCGTCGGTAGTCGTCGCCTAGCAGGTGCCCATCTTTCGCGCTCACGGAACTCCATTAAGCTCGGGAAACTAATTTCCCGACCGACCTCCAGGTCGTCCCCGTAATCCTCCGCGGTCTGCGGCTCTGGAGACATGTGTTCGGGGAATCGGCGATTTATTATTTTGCAACTTGCTAGGATGGTGGGGGATTAATTTTTCTTGCGATGAACAAAATTAGCATCCCTCCGAAGAAAATAAAAGCCGAAAACTTCTGTCCTCTGAAGAGCGTGATGCAAGCCCGATGCGAAATTGGTTGATATCTACTTTTAGTTACAATGAAGTATATTTGCGTTTTTCTCTTTTATAAATCAAATAATACATTGAACAGTGAATTCGAGGTTGGCAAGACGGCACGCCATATATCTGGAATATTTTATGATTATTTTCAGTTTTTCACCCGACAAATTTGTTCCAGTTAACCAAACAAACATGTTATTTTACTTTTCCTATATCCCGTTACTGATGTTTTTCGTGTTTCCGATATCAAAAAGCAAATTTATACAGCGCAGCGTGCGGTGCGCGAGCACGTATCGCGATATTTTTTCACTCGTAGAAATAAAAAATCCGTCTTCGCGCCAGTCGCATGTTCTCGCCGGCTTCAATGTAATTAACACGACGTTCTGTCAGTACCATCTACTGCTTTGTGGGTCGTGGGGTTCGTTAAGCTCGGCAAATTAATTTCCATCGTACTTTCAAACGCGACCGCAATTCTTGCGGTTCGCTCGCGCGAACGTGAATGCGCGCGCTGCGAAGTGCGCCGGGCTCGTAATGCGGCGATTCATGAGCGCGGTTCCGCATCCGCTTCGTCGGTCACTGCCCCTTGCCCAAATGGGAAATGATGCTACGGGGGCGGAAAATACGAGCGTGAAAATTCCAGCGCGCGGAAGAAAACGCGACGCAGATTATTCGCTCCACCTGTTTCTAGCGCTTCTTTCAGCAAAGAATAAATTAAGTCTAACAAGTCAAAGAAAGTATCTGTGTGTGTGTGATTTGTGTGCCGGAAACGCGTAGCGCAAGTAAAATACACGACTTACGGTATTTTCCGGCAGGAATAAAGTGTTTTAATCTCAACTATATTTTTTAGATGAATTATCTTGCCATTTTCGATAAACTTAAGATCGTTTTTTTTTAGCAAAATTTTCTGAAACGCTGTATCAATCGCTTTATTTTAATTTTTAATATTTAAGTATTTTAATACTGAAGCGTTTAAGCGTTAATAAAAGCATCTGTTAATGAAAGAACGAAATCCACTTAAGATTAAACAGCGGATTGCTTATCTACGTTTATATTAAGTCGTGGGAGACGTTATTGAGCGCTAATTCAGCGCCGGTTCTTCCCCCGGTTATAATAACACGGTCAGATAGTAGCGATCGATTTAATGAGATAAGATTAAATTCGATTTATCTCCACGCTGCCTTCACAACGCAATAAAACTAAACTACGAGAACTATCGGGTCTATCAGGTCGCCATTACCGCTCGATCAAACGTTTCAATTTCAACGGCGGAGAAGTTAGGATGCCTGTGAATAAATGATGCGCTGATAAATAATGCCTTTCGTGGATCCTAAAGCTTTCACGACGGCTACAATGGTTAAATTATGCGACTCAAACGTCATCACTTGATTTGTTGTCACAATCTATCACATTAAATATTGATACGACGCCTCCTGTCCCCCCACTACCGCCCGGCCGCTGGCGACCGAGCCGCCGATAGCTCTGGTTCAGGAGCGTTTTATATTAGAAATAGGCTGGATTGTTTAGGCATCTCTCAGGAAATCGTAACATTTTCTTCACTACATAAATAATGTTTATTTTCATTAATACATAATATATATATTTAATTATTAATGAAAATAAACATTATTTATGTAGCAAAGAAAATATTACTATTTTTTGAGAGATGCCTCAACAACCGAACCTATTTCTTATATAAAACGCTCCTGCGCTAGAGCTATCAGCGGCTCGACCGCCAGCGGCCGGGCGGTAGTGGGGGAACAGGAGGCGTCGTCTCTTGAATTGGTCCGAAATGTGCAACTAATTTCGAGCGCT